GTATTAATACCTAGAGTATACCTGGAGTATACCTGGAGTATACCTAGAGTATACCTGGAGTATACCTGGAGTATACCTAGAGTATACCTGGAGTATACCTAGAGTATACCTGGAGTATACCTGGAGTATACCTGGAGTATACCTGGAGTATACCTGAGTATACCTGGAGTATACCTGAGTATACCTGGAGTATACCTGGAGTATACCTGGAGTATACCTGGAGTATACCTAGAGTATACCTGGAGTATACCTGGAGTATACCTGGAGTATACCTAGAGTATACCTGGAGTATACCTGGAGTATACCTAGAGTATACCTGGAGTATACCTGGAGTATACCTAGAGTATACCTGGAGTATACCTGGAGTATACCTAGAGTATACCTGGAGTATACCTGGAGTATACCTGGAGTATACCTAGAGTATACCTGGAGTATACCTGGAGTATACCTAGAGTATACCTGGATAATCTGGTGTATACCTAGGAGTATACCTAGATAACCTGATATACCTGGAGTATACCTAGAGTATACCTGGGTATACCTGGAGTATACCTAGAGATACGGAGTATACCTAGAGTAATGGGTATACCTGGAGTATACCTGGAGTATACCTGGAGTATACCTAGAGTATACCTGGAGTATACCTGGAGTATACCTGGAGAGGGTTTCGTGGTCCAACGCCCCAGCGACCCGGTCTGTGACCAGGCCTCGTGGTGGATCAGGTCCTGATCAACCAGGCTGATGCTGTTGGCCGCACGCAAACCGACGTACGAACCTATCTTTCTCGCCTGCGTTCCAGGGAGTGCAAATCAAGGGACTTCAACTGTTCCCAGTAATTTAGGTGCTTTATCGCACTTATACGCGCCATGAAAGTTCTCTGTACATTCTCCAGATCTGTAATTTCCCTGCTTTGAAAAGGTGCCGTTAGTATGCAACAATATTCCAGCCTAGACAGAACAAACGATTCGAAGAGAATCTTTGGTTTGGCATCTCAAGTTTAAAATTTTTTCGTGGGGATTAGAAAAATGAAGTTAATATCTCCTAAATGACAAAAGAAAATTGTATAATAGTTTATTTACATGGCACAGGCTTGAATATTTTGAGTGTTTATTTTTTTTCTCAGGTTTAGTCTATTGTCTTTGTGGTCCAGTGGTAGTTGAGATAAGAACAGCAGTAAAAAATACGGGCAGTTTGTAGCCATGCCTTTCTTTCATTTCTATCTCCTATATAGTCATTGTCATTTTTTTCGATGTGGTATATTATATTTCCCCTCTTTATTTTCTTGCCGGCAGTGGTAGGAGGGAGTGGAGGATGGGAAGGTAGCCTTCTGCTTTACTATCCTTACCTCAAACATATAAACACTATATGAACCAGACAGAAGTAGATTGTCCTTGGCAGAACTCTCTGGTGTGGACTCTAATGTCCTCTGTCTTGTCTATATACTAGTGTACTACTTTTTTTGCTTAGTGCCAGAAATTGAGTACATCCGCCGTGTGCTGCTACACTGATCAATATGACAACTCAGGGAATATACACAATAAGAAGTACTGTACATATCCGGTATCCTTATTGTTAGTGTCTAGGCGGTAGTTATATAATAATAATAATAATAATAATAGTAATAATAATAATAATAATAATAATAATAATAATAATAATAATAATAATAATAATAATAATAATGTAATAGTGCAAATATTTCTAATATAAATTGATTGGTCAAGATCTTGCTATGGTAAACCAGTAAATGCGCCTTGATTTAAACAAAACCTTCATGTATATATTTACTCTTGTTAAGAAAATTATTGCTCATATCTTTGTAGATATAAAGGAAAACTGGAATAAATAAACTTGAAGGATATAAATGTTGAAAATATTGAGCCATGTCTGTGGGAAACATTTTCTTTGTCCTCTTTTCGTAACCCATTTTCTCATAGTTGTGTTAACTGGTTGCCATGGTTACTCCTGTCAAAGACATTAATACTAAATATAATGCTTGGTTTTGACAATGACATGATTTAGCATAGAAATAACATATTATAATATGGGAAAGTTGTAAGCGTCGTTGACAAACAACGCTTGCCCATCATCCCTCTATGGCAGGATAACTATTGCTGCTTGGTTTTTTTTATCCTTGTATTTCATGGCAAGTGAAATTCCCAATCACTTGCATAGTTACTACAATATGGTATGGCTTATTATTGGGCGATAATATGGGAGAGATGTTAGTATTTCATGTGTATAAAATAGTATTTGTTATGAGAGTGTTGAGTGTGGTAACCAGATGAAGCATCTGGCAGCGAGGCGCCGCCGCTCACCCAGGCGACGCCGACACCAGAAGGCGGCTGTTATCTCTCCACTGTCTTGGTGAGATTTCTTCATTATCTCTCGTTCTTCGTACTTTAGTCTTAATATAAAACATCCTTGAATGAGAGGAAAGTGTCGAGCAAGTGATAAGTGAGGTGGGGATGCGAGGCTGGTGATAGAGTGAGTGAGATGGTGTTAGCGTCTCTTTATGGCGATCTTTCACCTCACCATGTTTTGTTTACCTCCTGGAAATGTTCAAACTCAGCTATATTTGGTATTAGTTGTTGTTGCAGTGACACGGTGCAGAGTGTTGCGTGGGGTATGGGGGCGTGGCAAGTGAGTGAAGGGCGTGGGGCAGTGGTAATGTTAGGTGAAGATGAGTGTCTTGGTCCCTTGTGTGACGTGGGCGACGCGACGCAGCTGGGCCGCCGCGCCGCTTGGCCCTTCCCCCTTCCACCTTTGTGGGCACTTACCACACCTTTGTGGGCATTGTCGCACATATATGGTCATTTTCCACCCTTTTCCATCATTATCTATACATTTATGGGTATTTTCCTCACTTTAGGAGTCTCGTGCACCTCTTGTGGGTATTTCATGACATTTTGGTCATATCGGGCTTGTGTAGGTATCTCCCGAGCCTTTGTGGGCATCTCGCAAAATATAGCCATTATTATGCACCGCTGGGCATCGCCAGAGGTGCATAATAATGGTATACACAAACACAGTTATATAGATTATCACACATAGCAACATATGTATACATAACCTAGGATAACCCATTAAAGTCAGACAAAGTGACTTTTGTGGGCATATTCTTTTTTACACCTTTGAGAAGCCCCCACATACGTTTGAGGGTATTTGCATATATGGGTATCAGGCACCCAAATAAAAATTAGCCTGATTTAATTAGGTTATCTTAGGTCAAATCTACATAATTTAATCTAGTAATAGTTTATGACTACTACTCCTGCAAATTTCGGGCATTGATTTACAGTTTACAATGCATGCAAGGTATAAACACCATGAAATAAGTATTTCTTTTGCAAATTGTTGTTTTTGGAGATACAGTATTAGCATAAATAGTATTGTTCATTAAATTTGGTTGCTTCTCATGTCTGGGCCAATCAACACTTAATATTTAGTTGTGTTAGTCACCTGGCCAAATGTAAACTAAGATGCATATCAACTGATAAATGGTTAGGTTAAGTCATTGTAGGTTTAGTTAGGTTGATTTCCATAGGTTAGATTTTTTTTTTTACCATTTACACAAAAAATAGCATTTTAACATTAAAACTAACAAGTGTACAATTCGGATTATAATTAATGGCCAAAATCTGCCAAAGCAGTTGCCTGCTATTACCTCTATTTTTTTATGTCTCACATTTGTACCTTCAAGTTTACTGTAAAATAAAAATTTGTTATATACAGAAAGCCTAAATAAAGACTTGTTTGAGCTATTACATCTTTGGAGGTATCTATTGTATTTATTGCTGTTAGATAAATCCTAGCATATTCCTAATATATTGCAGTTGTGTACAAAAATCTTATAAAATTAATGGTATACAATACTAACAAGTTGATAAACACTTGAAACATCTAGGTTTCTTGGTAATGAAGAATTGCCAGTCAGTAGCTTTATCATTTCAGTGCAGTTTATTAACTGCAGACAGTACAAGATGAGGTGATCATTCCCTTAGCCCTGTAGAATGTATTTACTACTTAAGCCTTGATGTTTTGAATCTAAAGCATAGGCAGGAAGATGGATGCTTACATGCTAGAGGCAGATGATGTGCAGCAGTTGAAGGTATCTTCACTAGTTGGCAGAACCCACTAGTGGAAGTAGGTCATGCCTAAGAGTTAGAGCTGAAGTTTGCAAATAGCTTGTAGAAGATACCCTCTGTACCAAGATTCTGTGATGCTGCTTTGTCAGACAAGTACATATAGCATCATAACATAAGCATTGTAAGCTCTGTATTAAATTAATATTGTTACCGGTTGATGAAACATACTGAATACCTCAAAATTACCTGTCTACCTCTTCCATTGCTTTCAGTATACAAGCTCTGCATTGTTTTGAAAAAAGCCACTAGTTGTCAAAATGACTTCATTAACCCTTTCAGGGTCGGCAGGCCATCTCCTAAACTTGTTCTCAGGGTCAGAAATTTTCCGAAAAAGAAAAAAAAATTCTTATGAAATGATAGAGAATCTTTTCCCTAAGAAGCAAGATCGCCACCCATCTAGAAACCCATCAGTTACACAACCCAGGGCAACATGGGTTTAGAGCAGGTCGCTCCTGTCTCAACTATTGGATCACTACGACAAGGTCCTAGATGCATTAGAAGACAAAAAGAATGCAGATGTAATATATATAGACTGCAGAAGCCTTCGACAAGTGTGACCATGGCGTAATAGCCCACAAAATGCGTGCTAAAGGAATAACAGGAAAAGTTGGTAGATGGATCTATAATTTCCTCACAAACAGAACACAAAGAGTAGTAGTCGACAGAGTAAAGTCCAAGGCGGCTACGGTGAAAAGCTCTGTTCCACAAGTCACAGTACTCGCTCCCATCTTGTTTCTCATCCTCATATCTGACATAGACAAGGATGTCAGCCACACCACCGTGTCTTCCTTTGCAGATGACACCCGAATCTGCATGACAGTGTCCTCCATTGCAGACACTGCAAGGCTCCAGGCGGACATCAACCAAATCTTTCAATGGGCAGCAGAAAACAATATGAAGTTCAATGATGAGAAATTTCAGTTACTCCGATATGGTAAACATGGGGAAATTAAAACTTCATCAGAGTACAAAACAAATTCTGGCCACAAAATAGAGGGAAAAACCACCGTGAAAGACCTGGGAGTGATCATGCCGGAGGATCTCACCTTCAAGGACCATAACATTGTATCAGTCGCAGCTGCTAGAAAAATGACAGGATGGATATTGAGAACCTTCAAAACTAGGGATGCCAAGCCCATGATGACACTCTTCAGGTCGCTTGTTCTATCTAGGCTGGAATATTGCTGCACACTAACAGCACCTTTCAAGGCAGGTGTAATTGCTGACCTAGAAAATGTACAGAGAACCTTCACGGCACGCATAATGGAGATAAAACACCTCAATTACTGGGAGCGCTTGAAGTTCCTGAACCTGTATTCCCTGGAACGCAGGCGGGAGAGATAGATGATTATATACACCTGGAAAATCCTAGAGGGACTAGTATCGAACTTGCACATGAAAATCACTCACACCGAAAGCAAAAGACTTGGCAGACGATGCAACATCCCCCCAATGAAAAGCAGGGGTGTCACTAGCACGTTAAGAGACAATACAATAAGTGTCAGGGGCCCGAGACTGTTCAACTGCCTCCCAGCATACATAAGGGGGATTACCAATAGACCCCTGACAGTCTTCAAGCTGGCACTGGACAAGCACCTAAAATCAGTACCTGACCAGCCGGGCTGTGGCTCGTATGTTGGATTGCGTGCAGCCAGCAGTAACAGCCTGGTTAATTAGGCTCTGATCCACCAGGAGGCCTGGTCACAGACCGGGCTGCGGGGATGTTGACCCCCGGAACTCTCTCCAGGTAAACTCCAGGTAACTCCAGGATCATAATGACACCAAAAGTATGAAATTTGATGGAAAACATACGGAATTATACTATTGCGAAGTTAGTGGTCTCGATGTTTATGCATCGGTGATATCGCCCACTTTGAGCCCTATTTTCGGCCAATTCCAATGTACCAGTCAACAAAAATTATAACTATTTCGCTAGAACTCCACATTTTCTATCGAATGAGTACAAGAAATCACTCATTTACCAATTTGAACTATCCAATAATGTGGTCAGAAATTGGGAATTTTGTCAATTTCACACAAATTTCAAAAGATGCCAATTTCCAAATAGGGTTCAGAATAAACAAGACAAACATTCCTGGCACTAAAATAACATTTTTTCTGTTCATTAGTCACGTTCCCAGGCCTCCCTTACATTTCTTTTGCTTTCCACTTTATTCTCACAAAAAAAAAATAGAAGATTTACTGTTATGCAGACTACTGCATTAGTGTAAAAATGGTATAAATAATATCAGCACACTTGTGAAAGAATATTACTCACCAGTTGACGTGTATTGGACGCGTGGCATGATTTGCTTACTTTCGAACTTTGGCAAAAAACGAACATTTCTGCTAATTTGAGCTCAGTTTCAAGGTGCTTTTCATTGTGAAACCAATCAAAATCATCTCAATTTGTGTAATATGTCTTCCATTCTATAAAATGAGACCAGGAAAACTAGAATACAACCATAAATAGCATATGAAAATGCAGTGCAAAGTGGCTGTTTTAAAGCAAAAACATGGTCGGAGTTTTTTTTTTTTCTCATGCACTGGGTGCTGCAGGATTCTTTTTTATACTGTGCACACTGCCCACGTAGAACCATTCTTTCATATGTAGGCCTACCAGCTTTCTCTTGCTAGATTTGAAGGCGCTAGAATTTATGCGTACTAGTACGTCAATAACCCTGGTGTGCAAGCCATACTAGTACAGCACCAACCCTGAAAGGGTTAACCCTTTCAGGATCGACAGGCCCTCTCAGAGACTTGTTCTCAGGGTCGCCCAAATTAAAAAAAAAAAATGATTTTTTCTTACGGAAAGATAGAGAATCTTTTCCCGAACATAATGACACCAAAAGTATAAAATTTGATGGAAAACTTACGGAATTATGCTCTCGTGAAGTTAGTGGTCTCGACGATGTTTACGCATCGGCGATTTTGCCCACTTTGAGCCCTATTTTCGGCCAATTCCACTGTACTAGTCGACAAAAATCATGAATATTTCGCCAGAACTCCATTTTTTCTATCGAATGAGTGCAAGAAACCAGCCATTTACTGATTTCAACTATCCAATACAGTGGTCAGAATTTAGCAATTTTGCCAATTTCACACAAATTTCAAAAGATGCCAATTTCCAAATAGGGTCCAGAAACAAGAAAGACATTCCTGGCACTAAAATGACATTTCCTCTGTTAAGATAAGATAAGATTTCGTTCGGATTTTTAACCCCGGAGGGTTAGCCACCCAGGATAACCCAAGAAAGTCAGTGCGTCATCGAGGACTGTCTAACTTATTTCCATTGGGGTCCTTAATCTTGTCCCCCAGGATGCGACCCACACCAGTTGACTAACACTCAGGTACCTATTTGCTGCTAGGTGAACAGGACAACAGGTGTAAGGAAACGTGTCGAATGTTTCCACCCGCCGGGAATCGAACCCGGGCCCTCCGTGTGTGAAGCGGGAGCTTTAGCCCCTCTTACATTCTTTTGCTTTCCACTTTGAATTTTTATTCTCACAAAAAATAGAAGATTTACTGTTATGCAGACTACTGCATTAGTGTAAAAAATGGTATAAATAATATCGGCGCACTTGTGAAAGAATATTAGACTCACCAGTTGACGTGTATTGGACGCTTAGCATGATTTGTTTACTTTTGAACTTTGGCAAAAATCGAACATTTCTGCTACTTTGAGCTCAATTTCAGGGTACTTTTCATTGTAAAATCAGTCAAAATCATCTCAATTTCTGTAATATGTCTTTCATTCTATAGAATGAAACCAGGAAAACTAGAATACAACAATGAATACCATACGAAAATACAGTGAAAGTCGCTGTTTTAATCCAAAAACACGGTCAAAGCTTTTTTTTTTTCTCATTACGCACTGTGTGTGCAGGATTTTTTTTTTTATGCTGTGCACACTGACCACATAGACCCATTCTTTCATATGTAGGCCTACCAGCTTTCTCTCGCTAGATTTGAGGGTGCTAGAATTTAGGCGTACTAGTACGTCAAAAACCCTGGTGTGTAAGCCGTACTAGTACGGCCGAAACCCTGAAAGGGTTAATAAAGATACCCAGGTGTTGCACATGTCATATAATGTGTTTTGGCAGATAATAGATCAGTAAGGTTCAGACAGAATTGCTTCCATCAGTTCAAGGCTGAAAATATTCTTTTACAATGTGTAAGAAAGCTTGGAAATCTATACTCTAAAAGAAATCCTTTTGCTAATGCAAAATTATCTTTACAACATCTGGCAAAGACATGATAATCAGGAATACCACAGCAACTGAGCTTGTAACCTTAGTAACAGGTGTTAAGCAAGTTGTAATATTGTTCTGCTTTATGACATATGAAACTTTTTTAACTTATTCTCTTAATTATACAGTAGGGCCCAGCTTTACGGCATTTCACCTTGTGGCGTTCCACTAATATGGTCATTTCAAGTTGCGTATAATCAAAATTTGCTATATGACGAGTGATCTTTCAAATACAGTGGACCCCCGGTTAACGATATTTTTTCACTCCAGAAGTATGTTCAGGTGCCAGTACTGACCGAATTTGTTCCCATAAGGAATATTGTGAATTAGATTAGTCCATTTCAGACCCCGAAACATACACGTACAAACGCACTTACATAAATACACTTACATAATTGGTCGCATTCGGAGGTGATCGTTATGCGGGGGTCCACTGTACGGCGTGACCCACCCGGTTTGTTTACATTTTCCGTGAGCACATCTATTATGTCTGGAAACTTTCCAAAATTTCAATTGTTTTAATGTTTTTGTGTATTTTATATGTACTCGGATAATTATACTTGTGTACCTGTACCTAAATATATGTACACACTGTGCTGGCATGCAGGTACACATTAAAATCACTAAGAGTCTCTACTCATGATGCCGTAGTAATACTACGTAATAATAATCACTCTTGGGCACATTAAATGTCTTATTTTACGTTAATATAGACTTTCTTTCTTTCAACACACCGGCTGTATCCCACCAAGGCGGGGTGGCCCAAAAGGAAAACGAAAGTTTCTCCTTTTACATTAGTAATATATACAGGAAGAGAGGTTACTAGCCCCTTGCTCCCGGCATTTTAGTTGCCTCTTACAACACACATGGCTTACGGAGGAAGAATTCTGTTCCACTTTCCCATGGAGATAAAGGGAAATAAACAATAAGAACTAGAAAGAAAATAGAAGAAAACCCAGAGGGGTGTGTATATATAAGCTTGTACATGTATGTGTAGTGTGACCTAAGTGTAAGTAGAAGTTAATATAGACATTTTCATTAATCCATCTATGATATTTTCTTCAAAATTATATAAGAAACATGTTACACAGTATATAAACATGATACATAAACCCACAGAATAAAAATTGACATAAATATGAGATTTGTTTACAAAGCTGCTTTGTAGGAGTGTTGGAAGAATTACATTTTCTCTAGTCAAACACTGGGGGATAACTGTAGAAAAATATTCCTTTTATATGCCTTCACTCTATATATAGCAGTTCATGACCCTTGTGGGTTTAGCACTTCTTTTTTATTATGATAATAATATCATCATCATTCACTCTAAAAATGGTGTGTTGCTGTTTGTTTATTCTGTACTAACTTGTACAGCTTGTACACAATGTAAGAGTATTTGTATTGTGAGGTAATTATTATTATAATAAAATATTGAGTTAAAAGTTTTACAAACTCTTATAGACGTAAGTGAATGAACTAAAAGTAGACGCGTATTAATACTCATTTACTTCGCCTGACCAAGTGATCGCCCACTACCTGTTCAGTTTGTGTTTTTACATTGTCTGAACTCCATATCTCGTTCTCTTTCTCGTTTACTCTTTTGTTAGCTAGTTAGCTCTCACTGATGATGGCATCTAAGCTTAGTTGTGATAAAAAGAGGAGTTGTAAGCCTCTTACTTTACTTTATTCAATAAACACCCTGCCACTCACCTCTCGCACATTAATATTAATATTTTAAGGTAAGCAATAAGTGTACTCTGTGTGTGTATCTTACCTTTTATTGTGTTTTTAATGCCTAGTTCTATTGCTAACTTAATATAAGTTGGTGTAAACTTGTTGTCTGGCATTTATATGCATTTATAAATGGAAAAAAATGGCGTTCTACTTTCTGGCGATAGCCTGGAACCTAACCTACTGTAGTTTATTTTGTATATACACTTTCACTTGTATGTAATGTATGTAAAACATGTATTTTATACATTTTTTTTTTTTTTTACTTTTTGTTGAATTATTCTTATAATTACAGGTACAAACATTATAACATGATGGCATCAGATGGTATGCTGTCATTGTCATGGAACAACCATAAAGCTACGTTTTGCCACATCCTTTCAACTCTACGTGAAAAGGTAAATCTACAGTATTTACTTTCATTGTGTATGCAAGTACAGTAATAAGTTTATTAGTTGTAAAATAAATCGGGAATGTAATGGAATAGCATTTGTATTTATATCATATTATGTAATAGCCTTGTTATCTGTAATATAATGTACTTTAGAAATATGATGACATAACATTTTATTTGCTATTGTAACTCATTAAACCATCTATCTTTTTGTAACAGGAGAGGTATACTGATGTGACTTTAGCATGTGAGGGTAAATTCTATCCTGTGCACAAACTTGTATTGTCAACATGTAGCGAATACTTTGAGAAGATGTTCGAGCATACACCGTGTAAGCATCCAGTTATAGTTTTAAAAGATGTAAAGCCAGATGAATTGGAGGCATTATTAAGTTATATGTATGCTGGTGTTGTAAGTGTTGCTCAAAATGACTTAGCACGTCTTATCAAAGCTGCCGAGTTACTTCAGATAAAAGGTCTTGCTGTGCCTGACGAACCGCCCATGAAAGAATGTGGCAAGAAAAATTCGTATCCGTGGAGTTCTCGTGATGACAGAACCAGTCCCCATCCAAAAAGACGACGACGGGAGGAGCCGGCTCCGTCTGTTCCACAAGGAGGGTCACAACCTTCAGAAAGTCCTCCTTCTTCTCCCCATCATCCAGAATCAAATAATAGTTATGATCAGGCGAAAGCACATGCGCAGGAACAAAGAGGTGAAGACAGTATTGATCAGCGGTTGAATGATCGAACAGAACAAACGGTTGACTATAATAACACAAAACAAGAATCTTCACATACTCAGGTTGGTTGCAATTAGTACATTATCGCTGATTTAGCTTTTACTTGTTTACCAGCCTAATGAAATATTAATGTGTTTCACATTTCTAGATATTAACAGATATGATGAGGTTTCCAAAATTGTCATTAGATTTTGTTGGTGTGGAATTATATATAGATATTTTTTTAACCAGGCATCTCCCACTAAGGTAGGGTAACCCGAAAAAGAAGAAACTCGTTCACCACTCCACTGTCTTGCCAGAGGCATGCCAGTACTATTGTTAAGATCCCTCTCGAAACTGCAAATATCCCCACCCCTCCTGAGTCCAGGCACTGTTTCCTGTCTCCAGGACTCAAGTCTGGCTAATGTTCCCTTGTTTACACTCCAACATCACTTCATGTCATAATCACTTGCCCCCACTCACTTCTATTTTATGCGCTCACACATGCCAGTTGGATGTCCAAGCCCTTTGCATGTATATACAGCTCTAATTTTTGTATATGATCTAGGAATTGTTAGTAAACTTAGCAAATATAGACAGTAAGCATTCATGAAGGTATTAGTCTTAACTGCGTTTTAAAAAGAAGCCAGGCAAATTATTGCTGGTCATTTCTCTACAAGTATCTCTTATATCAAAGTTTGCCATAAACTTTATAATTTATTTAATTTAGTGCTGTCTTTTATTCTACAATTATTTATAGTTGTAAACTAAAAGAGTTTGATTAATATATTTCTACTTACAGATATGTTTTAGACAGTTCTAAAAATTATGAATGTGAAGTTATAACTAGTAGGGCATTAATGATATTGTGTTTGGTGATGAGGTATTGTAGTTAAACACAGTTATATTCTTTGTATCTAAATATTATGGGTATTTTGGCTTGATTTGCTCTTTATTAACTACATTTATGAACAGCAGTATATTAGCTGTTGTAGATGTTAGCACACTGAGTTCATTATCAGTGCTAGTGCATACAAAAAGTGAAAAAGAAAGAAATTAATTTATAAACTTGTAGTAGTAACATGATTATGATTAATAAATTCTGTTGGTTAATTGCACTAGCAGTGAATGTGAGAAATACATGAATCAGTATGTAGATTGCAGTGGTGTAGTTGCAAGAATGAGTGAATAAGTGATAAGGTTGGATGATTGTGAATTTTAGTTAACAGGCCATTTGTTTTTCTCAGTGTCACATGGCCATTCTCCTTGAGGGAAGATTTTGTTACACAACACACACAGCACACGCATGCATGCACGCGTGCGCGAATCACAGGTGAATTAGGTTTTTCAGTTTTATGTACCTCATTTAATAGGCACTGTCCATTTTTTCTATAAGACGCATTGGTAAACCTGTAGATAATTGCTTCACTTCATGCAGCACAGAATGAGGTAAACCCATGTTTCTCAGGAAGAGCAGGAGGGAAGGTGTAAAAGATGTTTTGAATAGTAGATGCTTCAGTATCCAACAGATGTGTGAGCAAGTTACAAGTTCTTTGAGATATTACGTAATGTGGAAGGGTAAGCATGCTCTGAAACTAACATTGGCTGAATGGATTCAGGGAAACTGGTTAACTGGGCTTGAGTTCTAGAAGTGGTGCTTACCTTCTGAAGTAATGCAGTGGTACCTCGGGATACGAACTTAATTCATTCCAGAAGGCTGTTCGAGTACTGATACCGAGCGAATTTGTTCCTATAAGGAATCATGTAAATCAGATTAATCCATTTCAGACCCCTAAAAATAAACTTACAAAAGCACTTACATAAATACACTTACACAATTATTCGAGTTTTAAGCTGTTGGTATCCCGAGGTACTACTGTATGTGGTGGAGATGCTGTTTTTCACAGGATTAATTGAATTTAGGTTGGATAATTATATGAATGAGAGGGGTTGGATTTGAGTGGGACTTGCAAATGAGTGGATATAGTTATCAGACCTTATTTCTTGGGGAGCATTGAAAATTGGGTTTGGTAAATGTTTTGTTAGTGGGATGGATTGTAAAGGACCTGCCTAGTATGGGCCAACAGGCCTGCTGCAGTGTTCCTCCTTTCTTATGTTCTTATGTTCAAGCTTCTGGTAAGACAGTTATTGAAAAAGAAATTGTGTATTTACAGGACAGTACATTTCTTTGTGGGTCATCCTACCTTGGTGAAAAATTTTTGATTTACTAAAAATAATATAATTATTTCATTGTTTCCTTGAGCTCAGTATTAATAGCTATTTTGTTGAATTTGTGAAACAGTTGATTGCCATCAGAAGTTAGTCTGCTTAACTTGTACGTGAAAAACACACACACACATGCACGCCCTACCCCTACCGACTTACCTATCTACACACACACTTACCTACCTACACACACACGCCTACCTGCCTACACACACACACACACCTACCTGCCTACACACACACACACACCTACCTGCACACCCCTCTGTCCTTCCCCCATTTCTCTCCCTCTCCACGTACACACACACACACACACACACACACACACACACACACACACACACACACACACACACACACACACACACACACACACACACACTCACTCTCTCTCTCACACTCACTCTCTCTCTCACACTCTCTCTCACTCTCACTCTCTCTCACTCTCTCACTCTCACTCTCACTCTCTCTCACTCTCACTCTCACTCTCTCTCACTCTACTCACTCTCACTCTCACTCTCTCTCACTCTCACTCTCTCTCACTCTCTCTCACTCTCACTCTCCTCTCACTCTCTCACTCTCACTCTCTCACTCTCACTCTCTCACTCTCACTCTCTCACTCACTCTCTCACTCTCACTCTCTCACTCTCACTCCCACTCTCACTCTCACTCTCTCACTCTCACTCTCTCACTCTCACCTCTCACTCACTCTCACTTCCTCTCACTCTCTCACTCTCTCCTCTCACTCTCTCACCTCTCACTCTCTCACTCTCTCACTCTCTCACTCTCTCACTCTCTCTCTCTCACTCTCTCTCACTCTCTCTCACTCTCTCACTCTCTCACTCTCTCACTCACTCTCTCACTCTCACTCTCTCCTCTCTCACTCTCTCATCCTCTCACTCTCTCTCTCTCTCTCTCCTCTCATCTCTCTCCTCCTTCTCTCCTCTCTTCTTCCTCCTTCTCTCCTCCTCTCTCTCTCTTACCTTCTCTCTCAAACTCCCTTCCACTACTTCTCCTCTTTCCCCCTGCTTACACACTTCCCTATCTCACCTTACCCTCTCCCTGACACTGTCCCCCCTCCCACTTCATATCCTCACTCCCTACCTCCCTCCCCCTTTCCTCTCTACAACAAACACCATCTTCACACACACTCTGAAAATACATAAGCTTCTTCCTGTGGTATAAAAAAAAAATGGGTTACCCAAGAGGGCGGAGAACCAGGGGTCTGGTGGATGAACCTGGTGGGGAAGATTGGGAGGCAGAGCTCACAAAAAGGGAGGAAGAGTGGGGAGGGAAGCTAGAAGAGCTTGGCAAGACAATGGAGGAGAGTTTATCTTAAAGACAAAGGACAGTACAGACATGACATCAGGAACTTCTTTATCAGTCAGACAAGGGGACTGTAGGGAGAAAAGAAGCTATACCATATGTGAAGGCCCTGTCAGACCCACATTGGGCCCAGGAAATGATGAGGAGCACACTAAGAACAAATGAGAGGTCTGAAGACATTGAAGGAGCTATGCTATATGCAGAGACTCTAACAGACAACTGCAGTGGCCAGGAACAGCTGAGCAGGAAAGGCAGTCCACTGAACATAGGAGTTTCTGCCAGGGCAGGGTTTGAAGGCAGGAACGTTTCACTGAAAGGAACTAAAACGCCTTAGAGGATGCAAAGCGAGATGCAGTGGGAAGATGAAAGGAATAGGTCATATTTTGTCTACGGGCTCCAGGAAGTCGAAGGGGAAACCTATGATGAAAGAAAACAGGAGAAAAGAGCGATAGAGGGCGACATGACCCAGGTGACAAATTTTCGGAGAATTGGGTGGTTTGCAAGTGGAAGAAAATGGCCTGTCAAAGTAATTTTCAAGGAAGAATCAGCTTGAACCAGGATCCTGCAGGAGAAAGCATGACTGAGAGACAAACCAGAGTACAGGAGAGTGCCTCGATTGAGACAGAGGACAAGAAAGGACGATACTGAAAGATATGGTACAAAGATGAGAGGAGGAACGAGAGGCGATGATGAAGATGAGTAGAAGAACCCAAACCCAGGTGGAAGGGCAATCACACCCTCCAGGAACACCCGCAGAAGGAAAATCACGAAAATCCCATTGCAACTGAACAATCTAAACCAAAACCCACACACTGTTCCTTCTGTCCCCACCTCCCTCATCACAAACCCCACCTGAACTGCAACCCCCCATAGGTCCCTACCAGGGCTCCTGCTCCCCCAACCCACAATATTCTCCTAGGACCAGTAGTGATAGAAAAGAAGTTGAAGGTTTGGTACATGAACGCTGATGGAATAATGAATAAATATGAGGGGTGGCATGAAAGAATCAATGATAAGTCCCCAGACATAATAGCAGTCACAGAAACGAAACTCACTGAGACAGTAACAGACACAATCTTCTCACCGGGATATCAGATCCTGAGGAAAGATAACCCAGCGACAGTACGAAAACGACATAGCATCGAAAGTCAAGTCTGACCTGAAGCTGCTGTATAGCCACATTAGGAGAAAGACAACAGTCAAAGACCAGGTGATCAGACTGAGGAAAGAAAGTGGGGAACCCACAAGAAACGATCAAGAGGTATGTGAGGAGCTCAACACGAGATTTAAGGAAGTATTTACAATGGAGACAGGAAGGACTCTGGGAAGACAGAACAGAGGGCGGACACCAACAAGGAATATACCAACAAGTGTTGGATGACGTACACACAACTGAGGAGGTGAAGAAGCTGCTAAGTGACCTTGATACCTCAAAGGCGATGGGACCAGACAACATCTCATCAATCCTTGGAGAGGGAGCAGATACACTGTGTGTGCCATTAACCACAATCTTCAACACCTCTTGAAACTG